TGAAATCGGCATAGACAAATGCAGAAGGCAGCCATTCTTGGATTGGCTGCCTTCTGCATTTTGTGCATTATTCAAAACAGCAGTGGTATTATTCATTCTGTGGTATTATTCAAAACAGCTATTTGGAATTTTCAATACATCTAAACAAAATGAAATCTCATGAGAATAGTTACCTCAATTTTCAGATGAGGTTCAGCGAAAATATCTACACCGCCGTGTTTATTTGCATTTCTACAAAAATGAGTATGAAGACAGTACTTTTGAATATTGATGTACATATTTCAAAGCCAATGAGCTGAAAACACAATCAGCGACCAAGCAAAAATATTCAGGCTCACACCAATTCTGGTTAATCCTTGCTGAACATGATGTAATTTGCCATGTAAATGGCAAAAAAATCACAAGAGTAATTTTCATTACACCGCTTTCCCAATCCTCCCCATTTTCAATTTGAACTCCCTGTATATGTTTCAAGCTCATCTTCAGTTGTAATCATTTGTTACTCATTTCTCTTTCGCAAGATACGTTGAAAATAGTCCGACATATTATAATTGTCCTTTTGTTGTTAAATTTTGAGGAGTGCACCAAATTGAACTTCTCATACAAAAGTTGGTCTTGAAATTAAAATGTTTCTACCCACTAACTTCCCATTTGAAAGAAATTTGTGAGATTCGTACATAGGGCGTACAATTATTATACTGTTCATGGTTTCAACGTCACCATGAATAATATAGTGAGAAAACACAATAAAATCATAAATATAGAAAAGTAGGTATCGATTTGGTATTAACGATGATTGAGAAATATCTTTCATTTCAATAAAAATCAGATAAATCTGCTAAATTAGAAATTAGAAAAATAAACAGTCATTCAAAATTATCCATTATAAATGGTTATGAACAAAAAAAGCCAAAACACTTTCATTTGATCCGATTGAAATTGAAGGATTTCGGTATTGAAATCACTATAAATAATATTATAAAAATGAGATAGGGTGAAGATTAGTGTCCGAAAGAAACTAGTTTTTACGACCGAAACCGAAAACGAATTTCGGCAACGGTCTCAGTTTTGGCCGAAACCGAAACTTCCTTATAAGGATTATATTTTGAGGAAAAAATAAAGAAATGGTTATTTCAATCAGTTAGTCTTTATTGTTTTATCTTTAAATCACAACCTTATGCAGTCTTCGACATTTATACCCTAAGAATATTTAAAATAGGTGAGGTATTTATTTGAGTGCATTTAGATCCTTGTTTTGAATATTATTGATGGGTTTTCAAAAATATTAAACATAAAATTACTTATTTGAGTTGTTACCTAATATCACTTGTATGAAATTTAACCAGCCGAACATGACCGATCACAGCGCGGGAACTCCCGAATGCAGTTTCGGTTTTGGTCGTAGTTTCGGCAGGTTTGCTGCCGAAACCGAAACTAAACCGAAACCGAAATTTCGGTCGGACACTAGTGAAGATGGTTCAAAGACCGAAATTTCACCAATCATGAAAATAACAAAAAAAAGTATTTAATAAGAAGAGCACCTGACGAAATGGACGACAATATCAATGAGTGAAATGAATTTTTGTGTAAAATAAATAGATAATTCGAGTGAAATAATCTCCGTGGAATGTAACTGAGAAAAAAATGACATTTTACAAGTTTTTATTGCCAAGACCTCTGATGTTTTTCAAAACTAGATTCAATTTCTGTCACATGTAACAGGTGGCGTAATAAATTCATATACGCTGTCTGTTAATACATGAGATGAATTTTCATTTTTATCGAAACATATTCATTTTTTCGTTTCCTGTAGAATTGGGTTAGGTTAGGTAAGGAATAATGTGAATGGGCCTATTCAACCCTCCACCGCAACCCGCAGGGGTTTATTCACACTCGACCAAATAAACCCAGCTTCTTAACGGAGCCAATAAGTTTGTATGGTGAGTGGTCTTTCAGGTCAGGTGGTAAGAGAACGGCTCTACCGAATTATAAAAAGCTGATTCGGTCCCCAGTAGGGCAAGCTATTAGACATGTGCTATTAGACATCGTAGTTCATTCCTATTGTAGCCCAACAACTGTTTGTTATTAAGCTTTGAAGGGTGAATAAACATTTTGGAGTGAGCCTATCCTGGAAGATTCTGCCAGAAGTCTATAAATATTTTTGCCATCCTGGTGTTCAATCTTTGTTTGGCAAAGTATAAAGTGATGCCAATGGTTCTGGTCAGATGGAACTGATTGCAGCACCCTCCTTTACAAGGGAGTCAGCAGCCTCATTGCCTTCCAGGCCAGTATGGCCAGGAATCCAGACCAGAAAAATCCTGTTAAGTCTTCCTATCGAGGAGAGTCTGTTTTGGCAATTTGCTACCAATTTAGACATTGCTCGGTAGAACCAAGAGCTTCCAACGACGCTTGACGGTTCGAGAATATTTTTTTTGATTTGTGAGGTTGAATTCTTCCAATCGCTCCGTACACAATTCAACAGCGTGGATTTTCGTTTGAAATACAGTCGCATAGGTTCCCAGGCAGGTTGATATCTCTGTCCTGGGTCTGCGACTGAAAACACCTGCACCAGAACCGGAAGGTGTTTTTGATCCATCTGTGAACCTACAACTATTTCCTCTTACTATTTCCTGCTCCCGGAATATCTAGTCTTTTCTACTCGGGAACAGTACTTTATAAGGCAGTTTGTATTTGACAGTTGAAAGCATGAAGTCAGATGTCATTTCCAGAATGCTGTGACTTCCAGTGTCAACCAGTTGTCTGTTGCACTCTGCATTAAATTGATTTGTGCAATCGGCAATGTGCACAAGTCTTTATGCATTCCATCTAGCCTCTCTCTCCAGAAAAATGTGGAGAGGGGGTAGATCTAGAAGGATCTCCATGGCCGTTGACGGTGTAGTACTGATGGATCCACTGATGGCTAGACAAGCCTGTCTCTGTAAGCCAGAGAGCTTTGCCTGGGCCGAAAATTAAAATTTTTGTGTGAAATAATGTTCATGGAATGCCAAACTAGATTCAGTTTCTGTCACATGTAGCAGGTGGGGTAGTAAATTCATATATGTTGTCTGTTAAAAAGATAAGATGAATTTTCAATCTCTTCAAAACTAATAATTTTTTCGTCCCTTCAAAGTAGTCCCCCCCACTTGCGTCAGCGTTTCTCCAGTCCTCGAAGCAGTTCTGATATGCACTTTTGAGTTTGTCCTTGAACTCACTCAGCTATTCAATTTTCATCTCCCCAATCGTTGTAAAACACCAACCTTTCATGGGTATCTTCAATTTTGGGAAAAGGAAAGAGTCGCAAAGGGCCAAATCTGGTGAACATGGTGGCTGAGGTCTGATTACGGTGTTGTTTTCGGCCAAAAAGTTAGGAAAGCAATGCCGAGTGAGAAGGTGCAATAACGTGACAAGTCATGACTTGTTTTCCCACGATACCGGACGTTTCATTCGTATTGCTCATCGCAAGCGGTGCATAACTTGAAGTGCCATTTTTGGTCTTGGCTCTCCTGGGCTTTCCCATTGGGACGATTGGACTTTGGTTCCGATGTCATAACCATACATCCATGATTCGTTACCCGTTATCTGGATTGCCATTGACGTCATTCAACAATTCCTGAGCGATTCTCATGCGATAGTGATTCTACGATTCTACATAACATTTTTCTTCACTTTCTCAACATTTTCATCGGTTTGTTGATGTGCTGCGGCGTACAGGGCTAGCGTCGTCATTCACATATTCTTGACCTTCTATGAAAAATTTCTGAGTCAGAGTACCATCACCGTATGCCACTTTCAACATTTCAAAATGTTTTTGAACACCCAATTCCATTGTTTACCCAAAATTAGATGAAAATTCTTTGGTCCATTTTTTTCAATAGCAGAAAATCCCCGAACACGCAAAACTCTTCTGAATTTCATGCTTCTTACCAACAAACTAAACATGGTAAACAGCTGAAACTGTGAATTTATATTCGAAACGATTGTACCAACACAAAATTATAAAAAATCGCTAGTCGAATGTATATAGCCTGTGACATTTCAACATTCACTCCATTTTTTGAACAATCCTCGTACATCTGCTGTATATCCAATATTGAAGCAGGTTTAGTTTCGTACACCTTTTGCTTCAATGAACCCCTTAAAAAAGTCCGAAGGTGTCAAATCTAGTGAGCGGGCTGGCCATTCTGTAGGACCTCGACGGCCAATCCAACGACCGGGAAAAGTGGTATCCAAATAGTTTGTTACTTGTCTGGAGTAATGTGGTGGTGCTCCATCTTGTTGGAATACAATATCTATATCGAATTCATTAGGAAGTTACGCATAGCAACTTAAAAAAAAGTCGCTTTAAATTTTTTCTTCGAAAATTGACCGTTTTACAGATTGTTGGCGTGGTACCTTTCTACTAGTAAAACCGAAAACTAAATGAGAATATTCTAACTGAACAATGATGTTCATTGTCGTACTGACATTTTTCGTCGTTTTTATAAACAAAAAATAACTCAACAAACTTTATCGAGTTGTTGGAATTGCCATATGGCGTATAAGAAGGCATATTTTCAGAAATATCGATATTAATGTGTTTGTCTTCAGGAAATTATTAAATGTTTTGTCATTTTGTGGTAGGTGAAGATATTGATTTCATATTCTAGGGTTGTGAAGTATTCGTCAGGAGCTTAAAAAATCTTTAAAACGATGTGTCACAAGCCTCCCCTTTTCATTCAATTTTTTTTCCTAGATGGCGCCCAGTCGCCATCTTGAAAGTTTCATCTGTCAATTTAACTTCAAAATGAAGTATTCATGCATTAATTTCATTATCCCAAATTTCAATTTTTTCAATTGACACGCTCAAAAAATAAAATGGGGAGGACATTGAAGAAATGCACTGTATTTTAGTTTACGATCAGATCGAAAAAGCCAGTCTAGTCAGCTAGACCCCTCCTGAAAATCTGCCGATTTCATGAATGGGCAGAGAAATACTATGTCATTACTCTCTGTCGATGCCGCCAAGAATCCTTCGTGGCGCATCATGCAGTTCTCCCGTCAGCCGCCCCCAAACAAAACGCAGTTGATGGCAGAGGATTGTTGCGCCGCTGCCACAGGTGCTATAAAACGTACCATCGGCGGCAAGAGACCGTCTTCGCGTTCAAGTGTCAGATCATCCTTGTTCCAGCCGCAGGATCTGGATTATTCCGACGAGTCCAGGTTAGTTTTAAGACTTTTTCCTCTGTTCTTTTTAATAATCTCATTCAGTCCATGATTTCAAATTATACACATGTACGATAACGCCCCGCCACATAATTAGAATATATTAAACAGGAATGAGAAATTATCATCGTCTAATGCTTACGTTGATGCTTTCTGCTTTGAAGACGGCAAAGAAGAGTTTCACGATGGCAATATAGTAATATAGAGTCATTAGCTTCCCCCATTGCATCTTAATGGAGAGTGGCGACACTGAATTAAATTCTTTACGCTAATGTCACATTTCAAAGAGTTATATCGATGTTTCGGTTAATTTTCTGTCATTATTACTATTGATAACAACAACAACAAATGAAACACTTATTGACAAAATCAGTATTGAGTCAATCAGTGTTTTCACTTATTTCGTTGGGATTTTTCACCGTCCACAATATGAAAAAATAAAAATTGCAATGGGGAACAATACAGAACATATTATAGCTCTGGATCACGCCAATGAGTTATTTCATAAGATCAATATATTTTTCTCAAGGAATAAGTGCTTTTCATCAGTTAAGAAGCTGAATATTTCAGAAAGTTTCGGAGACTACTATCTGCCTCCGCCATAGAAATGAAAAAAATATTTTGCAGTTCTTTCTTGAAATTCGTAAGTATGTCCAAACTTTTTTAGACGTACTCCAATAAAGCAGTTTGTTTGAAGGTGATNACCAAAAACCGATATTTTCATTACTTCCAGGATTGAGAATAATAAAAATATTACTAATTATAAATGATTAGGGAGAAATAAGCCCTGGAAGAAGGATTACGGCAATACAAAAATGTCCAAAACGAAAAAGTACGAATTTTCATTGTGCTAGGGTACCTACCTGTCGAATTTATTGGGTTGTATGAATTATATTTTGAAGAAACCGAATTAATTTACAAAATAAGTAACGACGGAACGTGATTTAAATTTGTTGTCACTGATGATGGTAGTTATTTCAAATGAAACGCTATAAAAATATCAAATGTGATATACCCTTGGATTTTGAATTCATAGCTTTACCAATATCTGTAATAATTCCGTGTTAGGAATCACATGTTAAAAGGTAAGACCTCGTTAAGCCTTAGCTTAGTTTCCACTTCTGAGGGTTGTCGTTCGTAGGGGTGAGTCAGCTGTTTAACGGATAAACAGACATACATACAGACAGAATAAAAAAGACAGGTCCGTATTGAAAAATAAAGTTGATGGTGGCCATGTCGACACGAAACGCTTCATCGAATATTCATTATTACATTGTTATAGAACACTTTGAATCTAATTTTTCATGTTGATAATCATGGCTGAACGAATAATCAGTTGTCTGAACCATTTCTGAAACCTTTCGGAGTAGTGTTCCAGTAAAATACATGCAGTTATTTTTCTTGACATACCATAAAAGATTTGTACCTATTGTAAATTCGAAGCCGCAAGCGAATGAAAAGGTGTATTAGAAGTTGAGCTGATCGGATTTAAATAGTTTACTGCGGAAACTCGTTAGGATAAAGAGATTTTCGATCGGATCTACTAAATACGTTGAAGAAATACCTAATAAAATTCACTATTCATAATGCGATTGCAATTCTCCTTTTGCACCCTTTCTCAGCATTCATTCATCTCCAAGTGCATAGTGGCAATTAAACTAATATTTTTTTTGTTATTAACAATCTGTAGAAGTAGATAGTGAGAAAAATATCCTCTGGTCGAATTATGTTGAATTTGAAATGTGTTCCAATTATTTAATGAGAAAACGACTCCTGAAAGACAAATAAAATCTGTAAAATTCGAGTAAAATCTGTTTTTCCATTAACCAGCTATCGCCCTCCAATAAATGACAATCTTCAAAAGTCGAAATTTGTACGGGCCAAGGATTGAAGAAGTCTCACCTTCTAACGTACGATTCTTAGCACGTTGAATTCCTTCTTCCTTCTGAACATATTTTGTCCAGAAATTTTCGGCGATTTTTATATCATTAGGCATGAGTTCTTTGTTGAATGGCGATTTTTTCTTATATTACTGGTAAATCTCAGCATCCAAGCCGTTGCACGTAAAAACTTCAACCACGATGAGAATCTTGTTATATCTGGCAATACTTCCTTTAAACTTTCTTGATTTCGGGAAGTAACACCAACAAACTTTCTCTTCACCTCAGAATTGTCGATCTCGTCAATAAGGGTTCGGGGTCATTCCTCGCTTGGACCCTTCAGGAAGTTGGGACCGTTTAACCATCTACTAGATTCCCAGTAATGAAGATTATTTTCTCTTGTGGCTTCATCGGCAACATTTTCTTTCGTTGGTACCCAATTCCAACTCCTTACATCAGTGGATTCAATAATTTCAGACACCCTGTGTGCCAGAAAAGGTTTAAAAATTGTGGATTTTGATTTGATCCAGTCTATAACAGTTCTAGAGTCTGTTCAATAGAAAATTTTGTTGATTCTGATGCTGTGGTGTTCTTTAATGGTCACTGCGAGTTTGCTCCCTAAAACTGCAGCTTGAAGTTCTAGCCTAGGGATGGATATCTGTTGTTTTATTGGTGTAACTCTAGCCTGAGCACTAGTATCACAGAAGACATGTAGTTGTATCTCTTGAGCATCGAAAACATTCGAAACGTAACATATGGGAATGGTTAAATTAGTCAATTTTTCAATTTTTTCAATCCACTTCTTCCATTTGACCTTCAAATCTTCAGTAAGTTTATCATCCCAGCCGATTTTGGTTTGCCAAATATCCTAGAGCTGAATTCTTGTCATGATTGTAAAGGTGCTCAAGAACCCAAATGGCTCAAAGATAGTGATCACTGTTCTTAAGACATCTATTTTTGTAATAGGTGCTTTGGTCAAGTTCTGAAGTTCATCTTCATTCCATTTTATTGAAAAACCAAACTTGTCTTCATTAGGATTCCAAATTAAACCTAGAATCCTTTGAATGGGTAATGATGATTCTTTTTCTAAATCTATGTCTTTTTGATTTATAGCTCGATATTCATCTGGAATGGTTTTCAAGAGTTCTCTTGAGTTACTCGACCAATTTCGTATGATAAAACCTCCTCTTCCATGTACTTTAATTACACCAGATGTGATTGTATTAGCCTCTTCAAAATAAATAAAACAAACATTTCAGATAAATAATCCGTAGGAACAATACCGTTTTTGGAAATTTCGACCACATTGTCCCACATAAACAGTATTACACTCCGGAGAAATCTGGAGTTTATAAGCTTAAGTGTCCGGAGTGTAATAGTGTTTATGTGGGATAAACTGGGACGGTATGCTGAACATGAAAGGTCCTTCAGGCTAGGTAAAAATGGTTCGATCAAACCATTTCTTGGCATGCAACCACGAGTTCCCGAATCTAAACAATACAGAAATTTTGCACTATGCAAGTAAGGATTGCAACTCAATTATTTGGATTCCTTTTAAATCCACAAGCATGAACATTGCGGGTGCAACCTGTTAAATGATCAAATCGATTTAGTTTACTCACCGGTTTTTAAATCAGCATACCCATATTGTCACTAGTAAACAAAATTCAGGTACTCAATCAAGCTAAGTACCTCTATTATTACCTACAGTGGTGTTATACAAGGGCTAATGTAATCAATCATTGTTAGTTTGAAGTATAAGTTTGAAAATGTCCTTATAGGACGAAACTGCAGTAACGTTAGTTACAAATAAAAGTGGTAAAAAACATAGCAAGTTTCAATCGTCTTTTCCTTATTATGAATTTCTGCTACATAGTAAAGGCTGTATCCATCAATTTATAACAATAAATTATTTTGGAAAGGCTATATCAGCGAAATAGTTCAACGTAAGTATAGAATGTATTCATTATGGAGGTATTTGTCAGCTTCAACTCTGTAATTTTAGTGAAGCTGGATATTTTCCCTTTGTAAAGTTGTGGTCAAAGTGGACGCTCCTTACTTTAGAAAAGTTTAGTTGAAGTGCAGAATATGAGATAATTTTTGGATAATGTCATCCCCTACAAATTTTGCTCGAAATAATGTTTTGATAAATCTCAGAATTTCTCTGCTGCCAACAAAAAAATATCGTAAAAGCAGGAGTTGCTATTAGAACCTTGAATGTAGGTGTACCAACATCTGAGAAACAAATAGCTGACACCGAATTTATATATCATTGTTATGTCTTTAATTTCCCATAATTATGTCTATTATCCCCTAGATATGACTTAATTTTTATATGTCTATTCTAATATAGGCCACATACATACACAATAAAGAGCACTTTTGTGCAATGACCATATAAACAATGAAAGTTGCATATTTGGTGATTTCAATGTCCACACGATGTCAACTGTTTCAACTTTTCATTGATGAGTGAGTTTAGGACTACTTTCTTTTTGATGTTTCATCAACATGTGCTCAGAGCTACAATTGGAACTTCAATTAGAAGTTAAATATGTAAAAAAAGAGATGTTCGTGTCTCCAATCAGGCGGATGCTTAGGGGCGGAGCTCTATACATGAGAACAATACTCCAAAGAAGGTCTGATCTGAGCTTTATAAAGCAACGAAATTGACTCAATCTCTCTCCCATCACATACACTTTCCAAGAGAGCAAGAGATAGACGGGTTACACACCAAATAGTGATAGGGAGTGGACATACTCAACCTACTAAATCCACCTATTGATCAGTGATCTTCCAGGTCAGCTGGCAAAGAGTGAGACTCTGTCAAACGTTGAAAACCTGATGCTCTGCTACCGGGCCCCGACATTTCTTTGTGGATAATAGTCCACTCCAAATTTGGCTGAGTATATTTTCCATAATCTAGTGCATACCTCAACGGTGTGACTACCTTCGTCGAGTAGGTAAGCAACACAAATGTGTCGCTTGGGCTCTCCTGGTCCTCTTAGGTCACCGATGACCATCCAGGTCGCAATGTGCAGCTCTGGAGTTGAACTTGTGGAACATTCTCTGGAATATCCTGGAAACCCTTTCAACGAAAGAATCAATGATTGTGTA